TCAGATGATTTATTAGTAAAGGAGAGATTTTTCTTTTCTCAGCCAATTTTAAATATGGTTAAATGTTTACGAGGGAATGGAAAAACCATTAAATGGAAATGGTGCAAAGCTTTCCACGGCGAGAATGCTGCACTTAAGTAAATATTTCTATAAAACAAGACCTCAGTCTGCATCCAGTAAATGTAACCGGCCAAGGTGCACCAATGTATCTATAAATGTCAAGTACGTACGCACATACAGATGGTTAAGAACTGCACGGTAAAGTTGATGGATTAAAGTCCACATAATTTTAAATCCATGCTGTAGCATTTACTTTTGTTTTTAAAAGTACATTTCATTAGGTGTAGAACTGATCATATTTTGCTCATCTAGTGGGCCCAATTTTAATGCAAATCTACACGCAAATATGCACCAATGTGATTGCCCACTTCCAGAAGTGGAGCTACATACAGGCTTTCATAAAATAGGTGTGGATTTCACATCATTGGAGAGTTTTGTTTCTCTTCATATTCAGACACATAGATCTGGCTCTGTTTGTATGTCTCTTAAGCAACATGTAAATTACAGACATTTAAACTGCACTTGAATAAGAAATATCAATGAATTCCACCAACTTCAATTGACTTTTACCAGCCTGAATGAAAGGAGGACCAAGCTCCTGCACTTAAGTAGTTGAAAATGAGAATGTTTTTTTTATATCAGCTAAATTTTCAAAAAGGTATTTTCATCCCATAATGACATGCAGCCCTCAGCGTCTATTGAGCTTTGTGTACACTATTTTTTTCTGGAAGTTTTCCTGAGGGCACCACTTGTTCTTAAGTAAACATGTAAGAAAAGCAGTTTGTATTTTGTATTGTAGAGACAAGCAGAAACAGTACAGACATATTGAAAATATCACTTGAAAATTCATGGAAAGTACAGTACATCTTAAAACAACTGCTTGTTACTTTACATTCATTACACATTGAAACAAACACAGAATTTCTTCAACACTTGTACGTGTTCTGAATACATAACACTAACACAAGCTGTGTAAGCTAACAGCTATTCTTTTCACTGCTTTTACTCTTTCACAAAATACC